TGAAGTTTGATAGTTTTGCCATCCAGCTCGATGGTTCGGATCTTGAAGTCCACCCCGATGGTGCTGATGTAGCTCTCTGTGTACGTGTCATCCTGGAAGTTCAGGGGCCAGTGAAATGATGGGAGTAAATGAGGTGAGGCCCACTTGGAAAGCCTCCCTCCAGCTTCCAGCCCCAGCGGGGTCTCCTAATCACCAAGCCCCAATTCCCAGCACCCAGCTGGCCAGCCCTGTGTCTTGTTCAGGGCAGATGTGCTGCTGGCAGGTCTTACAGCTTCACCCCTGGTTCCCAGATCTTGCGACTACTGTGCTCTGGGTGGTCCCTTCTCCCCCCAGCTGCCAGTCAGGACCCCGGGTAGATAGTATGGGAGGCTTCTTACTCACAGCAAACCGCAGGAGCAGGCATGACTTGCCCACGCCTGAGTCGCCAATCAAAAGCAGCTTAAACAGGTAGTCACTGGAGAGAGAGGATGGGAAGGCGTGAAGGGAGGCAGGGAGCCCACCTACCATCATCCTGGAGTCACAATTAGAGGATTCCCCCACCCCACGAGGCATCCCTTGGTTTATTTTTATTTTTTTGGCAATAAGGTCTCACTCTGTCACCCAGGCTGCAGTGCACTGAAGTGATCACGGCTCACTGCAGCTTCTACCTCGCAGGCTCAAAGTGATCTTCCCACCTCAGCCTCCCGAGTAGCTGGGACTTCAGGTGTCCACTACCACTTCTAACTAATCTTTTTTTTTTTTTTTTTTTTTTTTCTGAGACGGAGTTTCGCTCTTGTTGCCCAGGCTGGAGTGCAATGGCGTGATCTTGGCTCACTGCAACCTCCGCCTGCCAGGTTCAAGCAATTCTCCTGTCTCGGCCTCCCGAGTAGCTGGGATTACAGGCACCTGCCACCATGCCTGGCTAAGTTTTGTATTTTTAGTAGAGACAGGGTTTCACCATGTTGGCCAGGCTCGTCTCAAACTCCTGACCTCAGGTGATCCACCTGCCTCGGCCTCCCAAAGTGCTGGGATTACACGTGTGAGCCACCACATCCAGCCCCTGGCTACTCTTTTTATGTTTTGTAGAGACGGGGTCTCACTATGTTGCCCAGGCTGGTCTCAAACTCCTGAGTTCAATCGATTCACCTGCCTTGGCCTCTAAAAGTGCTGGGATTACAGGGGTGAGCCTGGTCATCCTTTGGTTTAGAATACTATGGTGCTCACCAGATCTTCCCACCAGTCCCGGTCAGGGAGGGCTGATGCCCCCCTCCAGAAAAAGCTAGCCCAAAGGGCTCTCAGCTTGCTGAGTCTAAATTCTCACTTTATGGAGAAAGAAATCAAGACACAGAGAGGGACGTGACCTGCCAAGGCGACAGAGCTGGGTATCCTACCCTGATTTCTGAGACTTCATGGTTTGGTACAGTAGGGGCTATTTAGGGAATCCCCAGTACATGACCTGTGGTATGCCTGGCTTGGCAGGGGAGGCCCCAGAAGTAGAACCCAGGGCACAGTCTAGAACTTGTTAAGTGAAAAACCCATGTAAAGAGACTGATGGCCGGGTGCTGTGGGGTGTGCCTGTGGTCCCAGCTACTGGGGAGGGTGAAGCAGGAGGAGGATCCCTGGAGCCCAGGAGTACATGACCAGCCTGGGTGATGTAGCACGACCCTGTCTCTCTCTTTTTTTTTTTTTTGAGACGGAGTCTTGCTCTGTCACCCAGGCTGGAGTGCAGTGGCCGGATCTCAGCTCACTGCAAGCTCCGCCTCCCGGGTTTACGCCATTCTCCTGCCTCAGCCTCCCGAGTAGCTGGGACTACAGGCGCCCGCCACCGCGCCCGGCTAGTTTTTTGTATTTTTAGTAGAGACGGGGTTTCACCGTGTTAGCCAGGATGGTCTCGATCTCCTGACCTCGAGATCCGCCCGCCTCGGCCTCCCAAAGTGCTGGGATTACAGGCTTGAGCCACCGCGCCCGGCCATCTCTCTTTTTTTTGAAATGGAGTCTCACTCTGTCACCAGGCTGGAGTGCAGTGGCACGATCTCGGCTCACTGCAACCTCCAACTCCCGGGTTCAAGTGATTCTCCCGCCTCAGCCTCCAGAGTAGCTGGGATTACAGGCACGTGCCATGACACTTGGCTAATTTTTGTATTTTTAGTAGAGATGGGGTTTCATCATGTTGGCCAGGATGGTCTCGATCTTCTGACCTCGTGATCCACCCGCCTCAGCCTCCCAAAGTGCTGGGATTACAGGCGTAAGCCACCGCGCCCAGTCCACCCCATCTCTTTGGAAACAACAACAAAAAACCTGTTATGAAGTCACCAGGAAGAGGTGGTCAAGTTGCAATGAAAATTGCACTTAAGGCTGGGTGCAGTGGCTGACACCTGTAATCCCAACATTTTGGGAGCCCGAGCACAAGGATCATTTGAGCCCAAGAATTTGAGACCAGGCTGGGAAACAGATGGAGACCCTGTCTTTACAAAAAATTTAAAAATGTGCCAGATGTGGTGGTGTACCTCTGTATTCTCAGCTACTCAGGAGGACAAGGCAGGAGGAATGCTTGAGCCCAAGAGTTGGAGACTGCAGTGAGCCATGATCGTGCCACTGTACTCCAGCCTGGGTGACAGAGAGAGACCCTGTCTCAAAAAAAAAAAAAAAAAAAAAAAAGGTAAAAGGTAATCACATTTAATAATATTGAGTTCCAACTTGTGACTGTGTGAAGTCACACAGTTGAGTTCCCTGTGTGAAGTACTTCAAATGCATCATCTCATTTAATCTTCACAACAGTCCAATGAAGTCAGTTTTATCATTGTCAACTAATGAGGAAACCAGAGGCCAGAGAAGGGAAGTGACTTGCCCTAACTTACACAGTTTTTCGCTTTAAGACTCAAACCAGGTTTGTCAGACTCCAAAGTCCCTGCGAGAGCCTGCTGGTTCCCTTCTCTGTTCCCCTCCCAATCCAGCTCAGAGCTTCACCCTTCCCCAAGGAAATCTGAGACCTGGATGTGGAGGAGAAAAAGGAAGTGGCAGAAGAGGAAGAAGATAACTGATACTTGGGGAAAACTATTAGTCCTGGGCATGAGATGTGGGCCACCTACCCGCAGAGGGAGTGACCAAGAGTGAGGAGAGTTTGAGGACCAGAGAATCCCGCTGGAAGGGGGAGAGCAAATTCCATATTCATCTAAACTTCACAAGCAGTGTGACAGCCAAGGGAAGGGGTGCGACGGTGGCGTTGGGGGCCTGAGCAAAAGCGAGGAGAGGGCGGGAAAGGACGGACCGTCGGGAGCGACAGGTCAGCGTAACCCAGGCAAAGGGTAGGAGGCAGCCCCGGAAGAGAGGACCTGCGGGAGACGGGACTCAAGCGGCGCTTCGGGGCCTCCCGCTTAGTTGGCCAGTTTCTGGGCCGGCCCCAGGAGCCGGGCTTCAGGAGAAAGAGAAGGGTAGAGGGATTCACTGCCCGACCTAAAGGGCCCGAGCCTGAACCCGAGACCAGAAACTATCTAAAGACGGGCTCCCAAACTCCAGGACAGTTGTCAAGCAGCAGGTGGGGAAACTGAGGCCTGAAGTGACCGGGACTGCGGGGTCATCTGACCGATAAGGCCTGGTAGGGCCGGTGTCTCGGGCTCCAAGAGCTGCCCCTCGGGGTCGCCACGTCTGGGCCCCGGGTGTGAGAGCTCGGGGTGTTGAGCCGGGGTCCTGGGGCCCCTGGGGGGAGGGGCAGAACCCGGATGTGAGGGGGGGGGTCAGCGGAAGAGGGACCCGGATGTGGGGGCGCCGCACAGTCCTGACCCGGGCCAGACAACCCCGGTAAGCGTACAGCCCCGTATTCGGGATCGAGGCTGCGCTGGACGGCGCGGGCGGGGCTCACTCACTATTCGGGGTTCATGGCGGCGGCGGCGGCCCGCTCGGTCGCTCCCAGTCGGCTCTGCTCCGCCTCCCGTTCCAAGATGGTGGCCGCTCCGCCCCAGAGGCCCCGCCCGCGACGCGCAGGCGCAAACGTCCTCTTCTCAGGCCTCGCCGCGCTGGTTCTCGGAACTTGTAGTCTGAGACGTTCTCCAACTCAGCCCCGCTGCGCAGGCGTAGTCGGGGAGCCCGTGCCTCCGCGCCCACTCCCATCACTACTGGCGCATTGCCTTCTGGGGCTTGTAGTTTGCACGCCGGACGCACCTAGGCTTGAGCACGATGCTGGAAAGCCTGACGGCGTCTCGGTGTTTAAAAAGCTCAGTTTAGAGCTGGGCTTGGCACGTTTCACATCTGTCTGACGGAGACAGTCATCCTTACCCTCCCAATACCCACGTTGTGAACATTAAATGAGAATGTGGGATCTAGCAAGACTAGTAAAAGCTCACTTGTCCAGGGTTCCTCGTGTACTGGGCACTCCTAACTCGCAGCCGCGTGTCATCACCCGCATTTCATAGATGAAAAAACTGAGTATCGGGAAACTCACTCAAAGTCAAAAACTTTGTGAAGAGCAGAGCTCGTAAGAGCCCGCGGTCTCCAGAACCCCACAAGTGAACGTTTTAGGGAAAGCCTGACTTGTGGGGCCCCCACCCAGTTCCGGGGTGGGCCAGAATATCTGGGCCCAGCTGCGCGGACAGCGGTTGAGCGAGACACACTGTCCCCCACTCACGCGCGACCCTTCCCGGCTCCACCCGTTTAGAGACGCGGGGGCACCCCGACCTCCGCCTCAAAACAAGCCCGGCTCAGATTCAAACCGTCTTTATTTCTACAGCAACATCTGAAAATAGAGAGCAGCCGCCTCACCCGCAACAGGGGGAGCCCCTCCTGCCACCAAGGGACCGTCGCCGCCCCTCGCGAGAAGCTGCAGGCGTGGGGAGAGGCGTGGCAGGATGGCTCGGTGGGCGGTGCCCGGGGCGGGGTCGGGCCGTGCCTGGGCGGGGCCGGGCGGGAGGGGCAGTGCATAAGGCCGGGATGCGGGGCAGGGCCCGGCGGTGGGAGGACTGACTAAGGGGAGGTCCCCGTCCTGGGGCACGGGGCGATGGCGGGGTAGGACGCATCCCTCAGAGGCCAGGAGGAGCGCGAGAAGGTCCCGGGAGCCACTTAGGAGGCGCCACTCCCGAGAATGTGGAGCCTGGGAGATACCACCGCACGGAATGGGGGTGATTAAGGCCTGGGCGGTACCACTAGAGGAGGGACGAGGGGAGGCCCGGGTAGTACCGTGGACTGAAGGGTGGGGCGCGGCCAATAACTTATTTCTCTATATACAGAAGCAACGGCCGGGTTGAGTTGGGAGGGAGGGCGAAGGTGCCGAAGGGCCGGCGAGTGCTTAGTGTTCTTGGCTCTGGGGTCTGGGGAGGCCAGGCCACTGAGTCTATGGTGGAGACTCCAGCCGGCACCTCCTGCTGGCCCCGAACCTAAGGAAGAGGGCCCTGCTGGAAGGAATAAATAAGGGATCGAGCTGGAGTGGGCAGGCCCAGCCTCCAGGGCTCAGGCTGAGATGACAAGGGAGAAGGTTACCCTGAGATTGAACAGAAAAGACAGGGGCTGTGGGAGAGACAGGCGGGACAAGCAGCAGGCCCATGCGCAGGGCTGGGGTGAGGGGGGTGTGCCAGGTGGGCGCTCTGGTGACTGGCTGCCCCTTCAGCATTAGCCCACCAGGGAGCTTCGTCGGGAGAGGTCCATGGAGCTGGAGCTGAGAGTGCGGCTGTCAGAGAGACCTGTGCCTCCAGGCTGTGGGCAGAGGGGGCAGGTGGCTCAGCCCTGTGCTGCTGCCAGTCTGTGCCTCCCTGGCCTGAAGCGGCCTGACCCGGCAGAGGCAGCCGGAGTCCCTGAGCTGGGCAGAGGCAGTGGCAGTTCCGGCCCAAGGCCACGCCCTGGTGCCCTGACACTCCCGCCCATCTCCACGGTGACTGTGTTGGCACTGGCCATTTACACATCCACCCCCAGGAGAGACTGGGTTCCCCTCCTGTGTCTCCCCTTTGTCCAGCCCAAAGTAGGCCTGGGATAGAATCCATTCCCTCCCATTCGGATGAAGAGGCATGCTGGAGGGAAGCTTGGCAGCGCACATGCAGCCCCGGCCACAGCCGCCCAGTGCCCGGACACCCGCTTGCCCCTACCTGGGTCGGCTCTTCCACGCTCTTGTTGAGGAAGTTGAGGGAACTGGCTCGCTTCATCCTGAGGGAAAAGGACAGCGTGGTATTTGCCCAAGGAGGAACTCAGGGGAGATGGGGGCAGGGAGCAGGGTGGGGCTGGGGAGGGAGCAGACTGGTGGGTGGTGGAGCCTGAGAGGGATGGGGAGGTTGCCTGGGGTCAGTGGGGCACACTCATGGGTCAGGAGCTCATCCGGGGTTGCTGGGTGGTTCCTGAGGCTCACCTTGGTGGGGGGCTCACCTGGGGTTAGGGGGCTCCTGGGGGCCGCCCCCCTGCAGCTTCTTTACTAGCATCTCACTGCTGCGCCTCAGGGCGTCTCGGAGCTTCCCAAAGGAGCCGCTGCGCCGCAAGGAGCCACTGCCATCCTGCGGGTGGACAGGCTCACCTCTAGGCCCCACTGGCCACCTAGGCTCCCGGCCCGGCCCCAGCCCCTGGACTCACCCCACTCCACTCAGCTGTAGGTCCCGCATCCTCGAGGTCAGACTCAGACCGGGGCCCGGCACCCCCGGCCACGTCTCGGCTGCCACGGCGGTCTCCCCGCCCGCCACTGCCATCTTTCAGCAGTTCTACCACCTTGGTCTGGCTTGCGGGGTCCAAACCCTGAGGGAGGGGCAGGGGCATCAGGGAGGGGCAGGGGCATCAGGCCGTGACTGGGCCACACTCAGGGCCACACAGGTGTCTGCCCACCTCCTCCTGCATGGAGCCCCACCTGCTTGCGGTTGCGGCTGGCACAGTCCTCCAGTGTGTGTGCGGCTTCCAGCTTGCCCTGGCGTCGGTATAGGGCCCCCAAGCTGCGCAGGGTGGTGTTGACTGTGGGGCTGTGGATGGGACAGTCTCAAACTCCATGTTCCCCCAGACCCAGGGCCCGTCCTGGCACCCAGCCTATAGGGGGCCCTGAGGAAATAGGGACCTCTGGGGTAGCCAGAATCCATTCCCCCCCATGTCAAGCCCTGTGCTGGGCCCACCCAGCCTCTTCTGCCCTGGGGGAATCACGCCAGGGCTAGGGACCTGGCCCCAGGGCCCTCATGGGATGTTGTCACCAGGACCGAAAGCTGGGAGACCCGGAGCAAGATAATTAGGCTGAGAATTAGGAGACAGAGCCTTCTTGGGACAGGTGACCTGTGAGCTGGGCCTTGCCAGATGAGCGGCAGAGGAGGGGTGTGTTAGGAGTGAGAGTATGGAATGTGGAGACTGCCCTGCCATGCTCTGCTCCCCAGCCCCGCCCCGCCCCCCTCACCTGTCTACTTTACAGGCCTTGTACCAGCTGCCATATTCCCCATAGGGGGCGCTGTCCCGGCGCTTATCCTGGAAAAAGAATGGTCACACTAAGTGAGAGCAGGCCCCGTTCTGCACATCCCCGCCTCCCCTGACAACCACCCAACCTGCCCCACAAAGCTACCTTGCTTTCCTCCCGCTCCTCTGCGTGCATCCAGATGGGCTTGTTGTCCCCTGGGGAGAGAAAGGAGACTGTCAGCGGCCTACCATATAGGCCTCACCTGGTTGGGCTGGACACAGGACTGGGGTCAGGGGAGGGGAGACCAGGGTTGGGCTTTGTTGAATGAATGAACAAGAATAAGACCCAAAACACTACTGACCCTCTTCTGGACAAAGAGATGAGCAGAACAGACCCTTACACCTCAGGCCACAGCCCAAGACATGTGCTAGGCCTGAATGATGGGCCAGGCTCCGAGGGACTCAGGAGCAGATGACAACTGACCATCCGGGGCCGGAGGTAGTTTCTCAGAGCGGGAGATGAGGTGAGCAGGAGTTGCCAGTGAAGAAGGGGGATGCAAAGGTGTGTGAGGCACTGGCAGGCCAAGGGGGCTGCATGAGTTGGGTGTATGCTCACATGTGCAAACGTGAGCACAGGTGGCTGGGCACCATCTGGGGGTGAAGCTGGGGACCAGCCAGGCCAAAGTCTGACGGCCTGCCCAGCTGAGGGATCTGTCCTGGGTGCTGATGGCAGAGTGGGCCTGGGATGGATTGGCCAGAGGCACATGGCAACCACACACTCACCATTGACAGAGCCAAACTCTTTCTCATGAGCACGGGTGAGGATCTCCTTGTACAGGGTCTCTGCATCCTGGTACTTGCCCTGCTTCAGGTAGCAGGAAGCCTGGAAGTGGGAGACCCAGAGAGTGAACAGGATGCATGGAGCCAAGCCTTTTTCTCTCCTTCTTCCCCAGCGGCATCCCTGCCTCCCTCCTTTCCATCCTCCAGCCCCTTCCAGCCTCAAGGCACCAGGTTGTTCTTGGTCTTGGCTACATTGGGGTCATCGGGCCCGAGGCGTGTAGCATAGATCTCCAGCGCCCGCCGATAGTAGTATTCCACCTCCTCGGCTTTGCCCTGGTTCTGGCACAGCAGGGCCAGGTTGCTGAGCTGCTTGGCCACATCTGGGTGAAACTTGCCTAGGACCTGGGATGGGAGAGGAAGCCAGGGGTTGGGTTCAGGGCTGCCTGGGCCCCTGCCTCCCAGACCCCTGGCCTGCCCAGCCCTGCCTGCTCCCACCTTCTCTCGGATCTCCAGTGCCCGCTTGCACAACGGCTCAGCCTCCTTGTACTTGCCCCTCTTGCCATACAGGACCGCCAGGTTGTTTAGTGTCGCAGCCACCTGGAGGTGGAAGAATGGAAGCTCCTTGACCCAGGCCCTGCAGGACTCTGGGACCTGCAGGGGATGGGGCACAGCCCCCACCTCCCACCCAACCCTCACTCACGGCTGGGTGGTCCTTGCCCAGGGTTTTCTCCCGGATGGCCAGAGCATCATTGAGTAGGTGGGCAGCCTCCTTATACTTGTTCTGATCCCTGGGAGCAGGTGGGAGCATGGTCAGGGCTGTCCCCCAGCTCAAGGCCCTCCCCAGTGGCCTGCAGTCCCTGTGGTCACTCCTGTACTCAGTGAGTGAGTATGACAGAGTGGGACCCATAGTGTGGGGAGACCTGCTTAGCTCCTGCTCTCTGAGCTCCAGGGGCTGTGGGCAGTTTTCTCACAATTGGCTGGGGTGTGCGGTGCTGGAGTCCCACTGACTGCCTGGTGCCTAGTATCCCTGGGCGCCACATGGCTCTCCTGCTGCCCCTTTAGCGTGTCCCGCTCTCCAGGTCCCAGTGCCTTTGTTCATGCTGGCTTTTTGCCATGGGAACCTTTTCTAGCCTCTTGTGTTCAGTCAAACTCACTTTCTGGCAAAGCCCCTCCTCCAGCCTTAGTGCCTGGAGAAGCTGTGCAGACTCCCCAGGAGCCCTGGAGTCCTCATGTGCAGTCTCTCCCCAGTTCTGGCGAAGCCTCTCTCCTACACTAGACAGTTTTACTCGCATCTGTAGCCCAGCTCCACACAGGTGGGCCCCGAGTCTGGCCCCACAGCAGGCACCAAAGGTTAGTGATCCGGGGCTGAAGCGTTCCAGAAGAATTTGGGTACCCCCAGAGAGTCCTCACCGATAGACCAGTGCCAGGATGTTCAGCATGGTGGCAACGTCAGGGTGGTCGTGGCCTGACGTCTTCTCCAGGTCTTCGAGTGCCTGCTTGCAGAGTGGCACAGCTACCTCATAGCGGCCCTGTGAGGCGTACTGGATCACCAGGTTGTGCAGGGTGCGGAGCCGGGCCGGGATCTCGTAGCCCCCATGCTGACCAGACACATCCCCTCCTCCTGGGCTAGGGGCTGCAGGGCCAAGGGCAGGAGGTCAGATGTACCATCTGCCCACTGGGCTGAGATGGTACATGCCAGCTGTGCCTTTGAGCCACTTGACACGTGGCCCTGGGCAAGTCACTAACCACTCTTTCTCAGTTACCCCATTTACACAGTGGGTCTAGTTACCCTATAGAAAGAGGGGGTAGAGGCCCAGCTCCAGTACTTAAGGCTCTGTGTAATGGGGCAAGTCGCCTAACCTCTGAGCCTGCGTCCCTGTGTACAGAGTGGAGGCCCCGATGCACAACCAGTACCATGAGCAAAGCAGGCACTGGCCCCAGTGTGGCTGTCTGCACATGCCTCCCTCAGAGGTGACTCGGAGGAGAAAAGAACTCTCCCAAGGGTCAGGGCAACTAGTGGCAGAGCAGCACTGGAAGCCAGGCTGGCGACTCCATAGCTCTTAACTGTGATGTCTGCTCCCCGCAGAGCTGGGGGGATGTGAGAAGCAGCAGCACGTATGATTGTTCTTGAAGCTCTAACACGCTAGGATGTCATGATCAGAAGTGAGGCAGGAAGGAACATGGCAGCCACTTGGTCCCAAGGACCAAGAGTTCACACAACCTTTCCTTCCCCCACTCCAGAACTGCCCATCCGCACCTGGGCTCTGCTCATCCTCATTGGGGAACAGGTCATCCAGTGTGTCTTTGGGGACGTCCCCCTTCTCCTCCTGGGAAGGAAGACAGGATGAGCGTCAGGGAGGGAGACACAGGGCAGCCAGGGTGTCCGTGGGCTGGGGTGGAGCCGAATTTGCTCCATGCTGCCCCTCCCTGCTCCCAGGCCCCCTTGCTGGGCAACAGTGACCATGGTAGGAGCTCACGTTAGGGGAGGTGTCTTCATCCAACTTGCGGATCTGGCTCATGAACAGCAGGTGCTGCTTCTCCTCCTCCAGCTGGGCCACGGCCTGCTCACTGCGCTGCAGCTTCTGCTGCGTCCCCGCCAGCTCCTCACGCAGCCACTGGTTCTCCTGCACCAGGCGCCGCACCTGCGCCCGCAGCTTCTGCTTCTCTGATTCTACGGCCCCCAGGTGGCTCGACAGTGCCAAGATCACCTGTGCAACCAGCCCAGGTAAGGGTCGGAGCCCCATTGACCCCTCGCCTATGACTGTAGCCTGGGCCTAGTTGGGCTCTGGGACCCAGTGAAGGGCCAGGCCTGGCCCTACAGTGAGGAGCTGTAGGCCTTTTCTCTCCTAGTCAAGGGAGAATCTCCTCAAGGCCTCAAACACACCATAGTGCAAAGCCCAAACCCAGGAGGCTTGGGAGTCCCCAGTTCCTTCCTTCTGGGATCAGGAGAACCCCAAAAGGGCTCTCCTGTGAGAGAGTTGGGGTGCTGTGCTTTCCCTGAGCTACTAGCCCCTTCCTTCATCTCTTCCTGGGTTGTACTCAGGCCCCTGCTGCCACAGCCACGAGGTTACTGCTCCCTGCCCCAGGGCTAGTGCTTGCCCACAGAACTCTGCTAGATGGCTGAAGGGCCACCCAAAGACTCCATCCCCACTTCTGCTGAGGGGGCCACAGCATCCCCTGCCTTTCTGCAGCTCCCAGATAGGGAAGGGGCATGTATCCCAAATGCTCAGCTGGCGTGAGGAACCACAGGGGCAGGAAAAGTATCCAGAGGCCTTGGCCTCAACCCCCACCCCTCTCCCCAGCCTCTATAACTCCTTTCCTGAGTTTCCAGTCTCTTCCTGCGTTCCTGCCTAGGTTCCAACCTCCCTTCTTGCTCTCTCTCTCTTTTTTTTTTTTTTTAATTTGAGACAATGTCTCACTCTGTCACCTGGGCTGAAGGGCTATGGCACCATCACAGCTCACTGCAGCTTCCACCTTCCAGGCCCAAGTGGTCCTTCCACCTCAGCCTCCTGAGTAACTGGGACTATGGGTGCACACCACCACACCTGGCTAATTTAAAAAAAATTTTGGCCAGGTGCGGTGGCTCACGCCTGTAATCCTAGCACTTCGGGAGGCTGAGGTGGGCAGATCATGAGGTCAGAAGATTGAGACCATCCTGGCCAACATGGTGAAACCCCATCTCTACTAAAAATACAAAAATTAGCTGGGTGTGGTGGTGTGTGCCTGTAGTCCCAGCTAGTCAAGAGGCTGAGGCAGAAGAATCGCTTGAACCTGGGAGGTGGAAGCTGCAGTGAACGGACACTGCACCACTATACTCCAGCCTGGGTAACACAGTGAGACTCTGTCTCAAATATAAATAAATGAAAATAAAAAATTTTTTCATAGATACGGGGTCTCATGAACTCCTGGATTTAAGCAATCTTCCTACCTGGGCCTCCCAAAGTGCTGGAATTACAGGCGTGAGCCACCACACCTGGCCTCCACCCTTTCCTGGTCCTTCACGGTCCAGGGTCATTTCTGCAGTGGTGTCTCCAGCTAGTCACACCTCCCACTCTGCTCCAGCTTCACTCATGGCCTTGATGCCCATGCCCTCCATGCAGACTGTTCCCCCTCTGTGAGAGTGCATGTGCTCCACCAGGTGTGGGACCCCTGACTGGTCCTCTCTGCCTGTGATGGCCAACTGGCAGAGGAGTGAATGTCCTTGCAGAGGGCCAGGCCGTCTGAGACCCTGTACTTTACAGTTGGTTAGCAAATGCCTAAGTGACAGGTGTTTCCATAACCACTAGCTTAAAAAAAAAAATTCCCCCAACAGCCTGGAAGTATACACAGCAGATGGCATGATCCCTATTTTAAAGAAAAGGAAACCAAGATGATACAACCTCCCCAGGGTTCACGTGCCAGGCAGGGGTTCAGCCAAGCTCTGAGGAGAATAAAACAAGTCTAACTCCTTGCACATCCCAATGGCTCCTGGACATCTCCAATTGCATATCATCCTGGCAGCCTCAACTAAAGGGGGCCAAAACAGAGTTCTGATCCACCCAGGCCCTCTCCTCCCTAATGTGCTTAAATCACAAACCTGGGAGTGATGCTGCCTTCCTCTCTCTCCCTTATTCCACCCTGGGTCTTCCTGGACCTACCTCCAGAACATCCAGAACTGGTCCCTTTTCTCCACCATCATAGCCACCCCTTAATTCCAAGCACCAGCTCTGATTTGAATTCCAGCAGTGGCTTCCTAACCACTCACTGGAGAGTGATTGCATCCTCGACCCACTGAGATTTATTCTCCACATCTCAGCCAGAGAGAGTTTTTAGAAATTCAAGTCAGACTGTGTTGCCTGTCTGCTTAAAGCCCTCCAGAGGCTTTCTGACTTCCTGAGGATAAAACCCACACTAACGAGGCCATGATCTGGCTCTTGGCTTCTCCCCAGGCCTCTTCTGTCCCTCTCTCCCTTCCATGAAGCTCCAGTCACACAGTTCTTCCCCGAGTTCCTCCACCACAACTCCTACCCCAGGACCTTTGCACATGCAACTTCTCCCCTGCCTCCCTTTCCTGGAGACTGGTTCATTTCTTCCCTCAGGTTTCAGTTTGTCATTTCCTCACAGAAATCCTGCCTGACCAGTAGACAAGACTCACTGCTGTGAGCTATCATAAAATCTTGTTCTTTTCTTTGTAGAACTCATCACAATTTGTAACAACCAATTATTTCCGTATGTGTGCTTTTGTCTCTTTTCCAAATAGGGCAGGAATCCTGTCTATTTTGTTGGGTCCTGTATCCACCTAACGGCCTGGCTGGCACTGAAAAACTCATCTGTTAACGAATGAATAGAAGAATAAATCGGTGGGAGGCTGTGTTTCCTTAAGGATTTTCTTTCTGTTCTCATATGCCATCCAGTCTCCCTTAGGTAGAGGGGAGCTGGGAATGGGGCTCTGCGTGGGGGCGAGGGTGATCATGGTCTCTTAGGGCAGGGCTGGGGTCGCCAAAGTGCATTTATTTCTTCAAAAGGTATTTACTGGGGTCCTAACACGGGGCTCCAGGAAACAGAAGATTCCTTGCTCATATTCTTCTCCTAGATTACTGGATTTCTCTGGAAGGCTCGATCCCTCCAGTGACCGCCCACCTCAGTACCCTAGACTGACCTACCTGGGCCTCCCCCAGCCCAAGCTCAATGGCTTCCAGGGAGCGACGCAAGAGGATGCAGCGCTCCTGCGAGCCAGGCTCGGCTTCGCTGGCCTCAGGCGCAACCAGAGGAGCCAGCAGGGCACGATGCTCCCCACGCAGAGTCTCCAGTCCCTGGATGACGGCCTTGGTGCCCAGCACGATCTCATCCTGGCTCAGCTTCTCCTCCCGCGGAAGCACCATCATGGCCATGGTTGTGGCGTCTGTGAGGACGAGGGTGCGGGCAGGCGGGCGCCGGGCCTGGGGCCACACCGCCCCAGATTAGGTAAACACAGGCGGTCCCCGGACGCCTGGTCCCGTGTGCCCAGGTCCCCCAGCCGGCAACCCGTACCTTGCCCACGCTTGGCCTACAGAGGGCGCGCCCGGCTCGTCTTGGCCAGGGAGACGCAATGCGGTGCGGCCGGACCCTGCTTCGGCCCCAGACCACCGGCTTAGGCCGACTTAGGCGGCCCAGTGTCTGGGTTTCCCCGGGGACCCCCTAACCAGGACAGGTATGGGGAACGTGGGGGCTCTCTCCTGTGCAGGAGACCCTGGTCCCTCCGGCGATCCGGGCCCAGCCCCTCGGACAGCCCCATCCCCAACCGGCAGGCCACGCCGCGGAGCCCATCCTCCCGACGGGCCGACCCTGCGGAGGCCATCTCCCTACAGGGGCTGAGACCGCGGCCCTCAGTCCTTCCAGGTTGTGCCCACTACGACCCCTCCCCTGGGCCAGCGCAACGTCCTGCGGCCTCCCCTAAAAAGGCCGCGCCCCTGCCCTGGGCCACCCGGGACCGCGCCCCCTACCAGGGCTGGTCAGATCCTCCCACAGGCCGCGCCCACGACGACCCCCTCCCCTAGGCCGACCTGGAGCCTCCCCCTGCTTTAGGGCCTGATCCCGTCTCCCGGCCCAATCGGCCCGCGCCGACCTGCGCCTGGTGCTCGGGCCAGGCTCCGGCTCCGGCTGCCTCCCGCTTCACCCGGACCCGCAGCCGCGAGCCGGTCCCGCCGCCTCCATCCCGCCGGCCTTCCCAGCAGCCCCCGCGCCGCCTTAAAGGTGAAGCCGCTACCTCGGTGGCGTCGGAGGGGGCGAAACACGCTTCTCACGGCCAGCTCGCTGCCTTAAAGGAGCGCGGGCCGGGCCGGCTCCAGCGGGAGGGGGACGGGGCGGGGCCATCGAGGCGGGGGCGGGGCGAGGACCCGCCCGGGGCGCAGTTTCCAGGGGCCCGCCAGCCCCGAGGGGTGCCCTCGGCCTCAAAATGGCCCGGGTCCTCAGGGTGTGGAGCTGCTCGGGAGATTGAACCCTAAGGTACCTAGTGTGGCGCCATCGAGGACGGCGGGAGAAACTGAGGCGCAGGGAGAAGGTTGGGCTTCCCGGAGTACAGAGCGAGGCATTTGCCACTAATTGAGCGCCTACTGCGTGTTGCGCGCCTTGGTGCCCTGGGTTCATTGACTTAATGCTCACGAAGACCCGAGAAGTGAATGCCGCTGTTACCTGGCTCTCAGATCTGACCCCGGGCTTCGCATCCCGGGGTCACATCTGGTGGGGGACGCACCATCTCTGACAGAGGTGGTTCAGCGCCCTTAGCTCAAGCACATCCGGTGACAGGGAGCTTACTACGTTCGGCTCTGAGACAACTCCAAAGGTTAGCAAAATTTTCCTTGTATAGACCTCGAAGTGCCTTCCTGCAGTGCTCATCCACAGCCCTAGCTCTGTCTTCAGAAAGAAAGCTGCTCCCTTATGTCAGTTAAGGTATTTGGAGACAGCGATGGTGCCCCGCGTGGTCTCATCTCTTCCCCGGGCTGCTCCTGGTCCTTTCGCTCAGTCCTACCGCAGTTTCCTGACCCTTCCCCATCCCAATTTCTCCTTTCTGGGTGTAGTCTAGCTTGTCGGTCCTGCTCAGAAGGTGGTGCTCAGCCCAGGGCCCAGTGATCAGAGACGAGGAATGAACTGCGCAGATCAGAGGGACGGTACCCCCAGGATGCCACCTGTCCACAAAAAAAGCCGCAAACCAGGCTGCCTTTTACACAAGTGAAGACCCTCTATTTTACACATCTCAGTTACATCCAACCAGGTTCTTCTCAAACCTGTTCTCTGCCAATGATTTTTTTTAAGAGAGGTTCTGGGCCGGGCGCGGTGGCTCAAGCCTGTAATCCCAGCACTTTGGAGGCGAGCGGGCGGATCACAAGGTCAGGAGATCGAGACCACAGTGAAACCCGTCTCTACTAAAATACAAAAATTAGCCGGCGCGGTGGCGGCGCCTGTAGTCCAGCTACTCAGGAGGCTGAGGCAGGAGAATGGCGGGAACCGGGAGGCGGAGCTTGCAGTGAGCCGAGATCGCGCCACTGCACTCCAGCCTGGGCAACAGCGTAGACTCCGTCTCAAAAAAAAAAAAAAAAAAGAGAGGTTCTGGTCCAGGCGCGGTGGCTCACGCCTGTAGCCCCAGCACTTCGGGAGGCTGAGGCGGGCGGATCACGAGGTCAGGAGATAGAGACCATCCTGGCTAACACGGTGAAACCCCGTCTCTACTAAAAAATACAAAAAATTAGCTGGACGTGGTGGCTGGAGCCTGTAGTCCCAGCTACTTGGGAGGCTGAGGCAGGAGAATCGCTTGAACCCAGGAGGCGGAGCTTGCAGTGAGCCGAGATCGCGCCCCCGCACTCTGGGCGACAGAGGGAGACTCCGTCTCAAAAAAAAAAAAAAAAAAAAAAAAAAAGATTCTTACTTTATAAAATACTTTATAAAAAAAGGTTCTTACTTTATCGTCCAAGCTGGCGTGCAGTGGTGTGATCATAGCTCACTGTAACCTCAAACTTCTTTGTTTTCTTTTTGAGATGGAGTCTGTCTCCCAGGCTGGAGTGCAATGGCACGATCTTGGCTCCCTGCAACCTCCACCTCCAGGGTTCAAGCGATTCTCCTGCCTCAGCCTCCCCAGTAGCTGGGATTATACCACACACCACCACACCTCGCTGATTTTTTGTATTTTTGGATACGGGGTTTCACCATGTTGGCCAGGCTGGTCTCAAACTCCTGACCTCAGGTAATCCACCCACCTTGGCCTTGGCCTAGCCTGTAACCTCAAACTCCTGGGCTCACGAAATCTTCCCATCATAGCCCCCCAAGAAGCTAGGACTACAAGTGCATGCCACTACACCTGGCTTTTTTTTTTTTTTTCCCCAATTTATTTTCTTAGAGACAGGGTCTTGATATGTTGCCCAGGCTGGTCTCAAGTGGTCCTCCATCTTGGCCTCCCAAAGTGCTGGGATTACAGGCATGAGACACCGTGACTGGCATGATTTTTTCTGGATAGCTAATACTTTCATTTGTGCAACATTCAAAAGACATACAAAGGCCAGGCTCAGTGGCTCACACCTGTAATCCCAGCACTTTGGGAGGCTGAGGCAGGTGGATCATCTGAGGTCAGGAGTTTGAGACCAGCTTTACCAACACAGTGAAATCCCGTCTCTACCAAAAATACAAAAATTACCTGTGCCTGGTGGTGCACACCTGTAGTCCCAGCTACTGAGGAGGCTGAGGCAGGAGAATCGCTTGAACCCAGGAGGCGCAGGCCGCAGTGAGCTGAGATGGCACCACTACACTCCAGCCTGGGTGACAGAGACAGACTCGTCTCAAAAAAAAAAAAAAAAAAAAAAAAAAACTTAAAAAAAAGGCATACAAGCAAGTTACAATGAAATGTAGTTATCCCTGTGACTGCTGTCCTCAGCCATCCAGCTCCCCTCTTCAGAAGCACACCTTCTGTTGTGTCTTATGTCCATTGATTATGTTATTTGCATCAGTGCTGAGCTTGTGTTTATCCTTGTTCATTTCAGCTGGTCAGTTTTCCTCCAGAGCCCCTGAGATTGGGGTCTTCTGCATTTGGGACCTGTGGTCCTTCAGCCGTCACATTGGCCTTATTTCCCAGATACATTGCCATTGGTTGGGCTGGGCTCAGTGGCTCACACCTGTAATCCCAGCACTTTGTCAGGCTGAGGTGGGCAGATTGCTTGAGCTCAGAAGTTCAAGACTAGCCTGGGCAACATGGTGAAACCCCATCTCTACAAAAAATACAAAAATTAGCTGGGCATGGTGGTGTGTACCTGTAGTCCTAGCAACTCAGGAGGCTGAGGTGGGAGGATGGCTCAAGCCAGGAGGTGGAGGTTGCAGTGAGCAGAGATAACATCATGCCACTGCACTCCAGCCTAGGCGGCAGAGCCAGACCCTGTCTCAAAATATATACATACATATATTTGCATTGATTGCACTTTGGTAAGTCTGCCTCTGTGCACAGAGACTCCATCTGACCATGACTGGACTCCCATCTGGCCAGCATGTTCTGTTCACAGGGAAGAAACAGAATATGGAGCGCAAGGCACTTCTGTTGTTCTTCATGACACTGGGTTTCAAAATCTTTTGAGAAATAACTTTCTTAGAAGGCTTTCCCTCTAGAGATTGAGATTTGGTGATGCCAGGGTGAAGGTGAATCCTGGGCACCTCTTGGGACTTTTTTTTTTTTTTTTTTTTGAGATGGAGTCTTGCTCTGTTGCTCAGGCTGGAGTGTAGTGGCGCAATCTTGGCTTATTGCAACCTCCGCCTCCTGGATTCAAGTGATTCTTCTGCCTCAGCCTCCCAAGTATCTGGGACTACAGGCGTGTGCCACTATGCCTGGTTAACTTTTGTATTTTTAGTAGAGATGGGGTTTTACCATT